AGGCAAACAGAAAACAAGTTTCCTGTCCCCTAGGATTCACAGCATAAAGCTGATGATGAGAGAATCAAAACAGACCCAACATGTTTGGGAGAATGAAGAAGCAGGGTGGTAGCACAGGAAGGTGGAGGGAGGAAGAGGAAGGTGAGGGCGCCCATCTCGCCTTCCAGAGCACAAAGAACGTGGCAGAAAGACACAGCTCACCCTTGAACCAGGGTGGCAGAGATTAAACCGGCACCTCTCTGATATCTTTGCTTGAGGCGCTGCTTCATAGCGCCCCTGGCCCCAGGTCTCAGCTCTGCCCCTGCAGAACCCTGGGCTGCTCCTGGTGGGGTTGCCAGGTGGGCACCAAGTCTGCTCTCACCACTCTGCCCGGAGGTGAGAGCCATGCACTTTGAAAGCATCAGGTGTTGGTGAGGACCACGGACAAAACTAATGGGGTACTGGCCTCAGGGGACTAATGGGCTGGCTAATAACGACATGGATTTTGACAGAGCAGAGCAAATAAGAATTGGCAGGCATTAACCTCAGACATGTCTGCTACCTAGAGAAATCCAAGCCCCTCTCTCACTCTTCGTTCTGTTTAGCATATTAATGTTTAATTCTATTAGCATCAGCAGCGATGGCTGCTGTTCAGCCCAGGAGCCGTGTGGAAGAGCCTCGGGAGGTGACACTCTTGGAAGGGGGACCCATGCCTGGCCAGGAGCCAGGAGCAAGCCCTGCCCCAGTGCGTAAATTGGGAGCAGTTGCTAGCACCGCTGCTGCAGCTCTGAGCATCTGCCTCTCGTTTGCATTCCCCTGCTAATTCAGCATCGACTACTGTTGCCCACTCCACGGGCTGTCTCCTACCTGAAGCGTAGCTTATACTTTTGAGTTTCTATTCGCTGGGGGGATATTTTCTCTCTCTCGCCTCTGTTTTCACTCCTTTCCCTTTCCTTTTTAGGGTGCAATTCTTTGTATTGCCCTACTATGTGCCTTCCAGGAGTAACAAAGCTGCAGGTGCTGCTTCCAGGGAGGAAACAAGATGGGGAAACAGCTCCTTACAAAGAAATGAACCATGTTGATTCATCTTCCCTAGCCTCCCTGCTCTCTTCTCTTTGCTAAGTGGCAGTGGCAGCAGCAGCATGGTGTTTAGTGGTGCATTTCCATGCATTCGACCCAACAGCCCTGCACCTCTGGAGAGAGAATTGATTGTAGGAGGATAGAAAAGAAGCAGACCTGATGTCTGGTGCGATTCCTTACAGAACTTTGAAATTAAATCAGCATGGTGGTGGTTTATTTATTTTTCTCTCCTTTCTTCCCTTCTCCCCTTAATGGCCCCCTTTAAATGAGATATTAAAAATAGGAATATTAATTTGGCAGATGGTGCAATTGGGCTTTTGGCAGGAGTCTGAACACTGTGCTGCAAAGTCACAGACCTCCATCTCCACGCCGGAGCGCTGAGCGATGCTCTGGCTCCTCTCCAAGCAGTGTGTTGCTCCTGCTCCTGCTCCCCCTTCCAGCTATTAGTGCTGGGAGAGTCATCTGGGGTGGAGGGGCCTCATGTGGGTCTTTCTTCCAGCTGCATCCAAGTAGCTCTGATTTCTGTCAGTTCTGAGCCATCACCAAAGGGCTGAGAGCTCATTTCCGCTTTAATTGTAGTGAGGTCTGATTGTAGTGGGAGCTACACATCTGTAAGCATAAAATTACTTCTACAGGGAAAGTATTGCTCAGGGTGAGAGGGGGCTTGAAGATATGTGTTTCAGTCTGGAGTTTACCAGTGGCTCCTAGGTGCCTGGGGATGTTTGTGGAGCGACGAGGGCCCCCTCCTTTGAGAGAGTCTGCCACAGCCGGCTGTGATGGGGCTTGTTTCCAGCGCAGGTTGTATGTCTTCAGCAAAAGTGATTTTACAGACTTCTCAGGGCACTATATCTTTTTTTGCTTCTTCTTTTTGCTTATGTCACAGTAGGTCTCAGCTTCATCCAAGATGGAGGCTCTGGTCTTTTATTGTTTTGCAGTGCCTGAATTGTTGAGAACCACTGCAGAGTCAAATTTCCTCTAAATCTTCCCTGCTGCAGCTTTGGCCCCGTGCTACGATTTCACCAAGAGCAAAATGAGCCCTAATTAATCCCTGCATCTCTGTTACATCCTTCTTGGACATCTATAGCCAATTATTTAGTGCATCTCTCCTCACACTCATTTCTCTAGCCAATACGGTGGTTTCCTCAGATTAACCTTGGTTTCACAGCACTGCAACTCCTGTAGCTTCAGCAGGGTCTTCTGCGTGATACCGAATGAAAGTAGAGTGCGGTCTTGCACTTGCATTTCATTTTTAACGTGTGTACAGAGATCTTATTTTTCCAAACTTCTTGGCATTTTTGTTGTTCTTTGAATTCCCTCCAGCTTGTGTGTCTCTGTTATAATGTGATGCCCAGATCTGGGCATGCTGCTCCAAACAGTAGCCTGACTAATGCTGTGAAGAGTGCAATAATTACCTTGCTGGGTTGCAGCAGCCTTATGTTATTGACCTCTCTTCAATCGATCATCCCCCCAGACCACTCTCTGTTGTATTAATGTTTGGCCAGATACCTCCATACTGTCTCTGTCCCTTTTTTTTATTCCTTTTTATGTGTAAATCTTTTGCATTTGTCCAGCTGAATCTCTCTTCATTGATTGCAGACCACTGCTTTAATTTATCAAGCTCATATTGTATTTTATTTCTGTCCTGCAAGTTATTTGCCACCCTCCCACCTTGGTAAAATGTTCAGATTTGATTAGCATACTCCCAGTCTGGTCTCCAAGTTGCTAATAAAACTGTTCAATTGTATTGACCTTACAGTGTACCTCACTTAACGTTTCTGTCCACTGGACTCTGGGTTGTTGATACACGCGCACATGTGTTTTTCTTTAGCTACACATCTTTGTTCTTGTATTTCATTTTCCTTACACTATGTAAAGAGCTGCATGATGCTTTGATTAATAAAAATGATGATCTGTGTAGCTCCAGCCATCTGCCTGAGGATCTTCCTAGTGATAGATATAGTATCTGACACGATGATCTCTGAGCCCTTATCTGCAGATTAACTGCCAATACTGGTAAGCAGGATTGCGTAAAAGGCTGAAGTTAAGATATCCTATTAGGTGGTCAAAAAAACCTCTAGGCCTTGATCCTACAACGAGAATCCACCACCCGCCAAAGTTTTACCACCCACTGCTCTGCGCAGGCTGTGAGCTTTGATTAGTAAAACTGTGGTTGTGTTTAGCAACTCTTTCGTCCTGCTCCAGGGAGGCATACCAGCAAGCAACTTACTCAAAGTCCTATTTACTGATTAATTATGAGCATAAACTGGGAAGCTACTAACAGGCTTTCTCTTGCAATGGGGAAAAAAAGAAAAGAGCTAGGTACTTTTCATGTGCTGGCTAGCCCTTACCTTGCTTTCATGGGCTGTTTGCGTGTACAGGGGAGCACTTTGCGAAGGCAGTGGTTATACAAAGTCCAGGTTTGGTGAAATGGCTGGTTTCTAGAGTGACAGGATCCCCCTCAAAGGGTTAGTTTCCCAGCGCTAGGGTGGACGGGAGCATCCCATGGGAGCATCTTGTTGCCCCCCCCCCCCAAAAAAAAAAGAAGTTTAGCAGTTTTTCCTCACTCTGTTGGGGTTAGAAGTTCCCTCTGAGAAAAAGGAGAGGTGTTGGAGAAAAAAATCTTGCTAACTCAGTTACATGCTTCTGACAGCCAGACCCAGCCTGCATGTTTCACACTACTGTTTTAGGTGACTTGTGCATGCCAGTGCCAGTGCCAGGCACTGCTAAATTTACTGTTGCAAGTCTCTAAGGCCAGCACTTGCTCAGAAGATTCCCTTATTTTTGGTTCTGACTGAAATTGCAGTCTCCTGATTAGTGAATATCAGCCAGTTCCTTGACTACTGACGGAAAATATGTTCCCAGCACATGAGAAAATCGAGCCCTAAACAATAAAAATGAACCCCATTGCACTGAGGCCATTTTGGAAAATTTGGAGCTAAATTGCTTTGGCAAGCTTTGTCCTGGATGGGGCTTGTTTGACCTTCAACATGCCTTCTTATTTTTTTCTGTGGGCGCTTCTCCTTCATGCTTTATGAATTGTCCTTTCACTTTACCACGTATTGAAAGTAAACGTTAGTGATCTATAATTTTCTGGGTTTCCCCTTGCCCTTCCAAGAAGTAGGATATTTGCCCCTTTGAACTCATCCATCCTCCTGGAGACCCCAGAGATAAACCAAGGCTCCTCTCTGCCACATGCTGGTCTCCTTGGCCCTCAAGGGTGTGTCTAACTGAGCACGGCTGCTCTGCTAATCTGCTGGGTTATCTGTGTGCCAGTGCTCCTTCCTCAGCCTATGACAGCTCCTTTTCCTGCTAACTGTTATTGAATTACACATCCTCTTAATTGTCTTCTTTTCCTTGAAGACTAAATCAAAGCAACTCTTTAGTTTATTAGTCTCCTCTTGTCTGTCAGAACCGACTTTTTTTAACTGAGCTCTTGTTGGGCAGTGCTCCTCTTTGGCTCTCTCAGTGACTCTGGAGGAATTCACCCTGCCTCCAGTGCCATTTTAATGCCTTAAGGTTGCATTTTGGGGAACCCTTGTGGTCCCCACTGAGGGTAGCTCCCAGTTGTGCAAGGAGCTGTATGCGCAGGCAGCAGGCTTGCTCAGCGCAGGTAAGGGTCAGCAAAGGGTAGGAGAAGGGGAGGGCTGTGCTCACATCATTGGTGAGGAACTGAGCCCGAGAGGTTAAGATGTGAACTTCCAAAAGTATTTGGCCCCAGCCGAAAATGTGGCTGTGAATGATATGGCCAGTCTCTGGCGTATCAGGCAGAAACAACTCTTCCCAACGTTTTCACTTCTAGACAGGCATCTTCTTTGCTAGCACTCTTAGAGATGCCACTTCTTCCTCTCCCTGTATGCCGTTTACTTGTGCATGCACCCTTCTCTGACCTGGTCTGGATCTCCCTGGATACTGCACATAAGCTCCTGCCGTTCTCTCTCTAGGTCTGCAGTTCAAGGTATAAACTGCCAGATGCTGGTAGGCACTTTGCATGCCTGTGCCAGGGAGTCCTCTTCTCCATGAGGAGAGTCTGCCTTCTCCATGAGGAGTGATAGCCATGCACTTCGGTGGAATGGCTGAGGTTGGTTCAGCTTTCTCCACAGATACGTAGCCCAGTGGGTCCCCTGGCCCAAGATTAACTATCCGGCGGAAATAGCGACGTGCTTCCCAAGCTGGCTGTGGTAAGTCCAGCTTCTGTGAGGCATTTAAACTTCAGAGAAACAGCAGTTTCGATCAGCAAATTGAGAGGCCTTATAGCTAAAGGGATAGAGATTCAAGTTATCTCTTAAGGCATATGCCCCCTGGAAGAGGGTCCCCTGCCTCGCCAGCCGTTAACATCAGCCCCTGCCATCTCCTTTCTCCCCAGCTCAGGTAGTGTGCATCATCTGTGCGCGCGACAGCTATGAAGCTGTAGGGCTCTCTGCAGAATATTTGCTCTATAGCATAATTCACCGTGCTATAGCAAAAGTCTAGCCCTGGTGACAATTACACAGATGTGAACTTATCTCCTCTCTCCCACGACAACAGATTATCCATCTGTGATGCAGAATCTAAATCTGTAGGCTTCCCCTTTGCCTATCCAGTTTGGCCAGCCCTATTTAAAATGAGTCAGTGTTTCTTGGGTGTTCCCGCCGGAATCTGTGGCAGTAGTCTTGTGAATAAGTATGGTTGCACTTGAGTACGAGTGGCAGAATCCAGCCCACAGAGACTGACATATGGTAAGGCAATATATGTTTCCTAGCATTTGGATCCAAAAATTATTCCTACAAGGTGCAGAGTTACATTGATTGTATTACTGGATCATCAAATGATTAAAGCCATTAACAATCCACTCTTGAGCAATCAACGTAACAATGTTTAGCTGCCTTGCAGTAACAATTAAAAGATGAAGCAATTTGCAATAATTAGGTAGTATCTGGAAAAAGTAGTCCTCATTAAGAGAAGTTAAAAAGACTTTTTCTTATGGTTGAGATGAACCTAGCAGGCCAATTTCCCTCCTCCTCGCCCTCTCTCCTTCCCTCCCCACATTTAAGGAGAACAATCTGCTCTTTTTTAGTCTTTCATTTTGGGAAAGATCAAAGGGGATCTAATGACTAGATGGCTCAGGAGGGTGATGGAAATCTCAAGAACGGCGTGTTGAGGCTGGGCATTCCTTTTCACAGGGAAGACGTCCCGAGTCGGCGCTGAGTTGTCAGGCTGTTTTGCTGCCCAGTGGGATTTCAGACCAAAGCACAGAAGTCTCAGCATTTCCTCTAATAGCAGAGTTTCTCAGGAGTGAGCACTCGTTCAGGCACGTTCAAGATGGTGATGGTTAGCCCAGCTCTGTGTTCGAGAGAGGGCAGCAGTGCATCCCTCGGGATTACCCGTATTTCTGCTCACCGCCACCTTCCCTAGCCTGGTTGCCTCTTCAGCCCTTGCCACCCCTTGTCCAAGGTGCTTCAAAGGCCCCTGTATTTGATGGCTCTGACTAACCCTTTCCCACGAAACATGCCAGGCAGGTACTCGGTGCCCGTTGCCCATGCTCTTTTTCCTTTGCCCCCTCATAGAGGACTGTGAATCCTCTCCAGCCTTGTGCTGTCCTGGTTGACCTCAGGGCCTCTGCTATCAGTGCCAGCGGTAGAGTGCTAGGCCACCTGGGGCTCCGGCGTCTGTGGGGCCAGCGGTAGCCCCAGCCACCGGAGCAGACGATGCCGTATTCCCTGCGTGGCGTTGGAGCAGCTGCTTGTGGAGATGGGGTGGGGAGCTGCTGCAGCTCCTTGCAAGGAGGCTGTGCTGAGGCCCTGGTGTGTGGCCCCAGCTCCTAGGTTTTGCTGTAGGTCTCCTCTTAGCTCGGAAAGAAACCCCAGCTCCTGTGCCAAGTGATTATGTGATTGCAACAAATAAATATAGGTGTCGTGCTTGCACGTTAACTCCTGTAAATGAGAATAAAATGCGTTCTAGAAGCTCAGAAAGGGGAAAGCAAATAAGAGCCCAACATTTTATTATTTTCTTTGTTCTCCAGTACTCATGTGCTTTGAGGGCCTGAGTCAGGATTTTGGAATACCTGAAGGAGGACAGTGGTGGTGCAAACAGCATCACCCATGGCTACCTTACTGGTGAGCACTGGTATTTACTTTAAAGAAAAACTTATCTATGTATATATGTATAGTGTTAATGGGCTTTGCAGTGTGCAGGGGGCATGAAGACTCTCAGTCTCTCTTCTCTCTGACTCCGTCCTCCAGCCACATCCTTAGTCAACATTCATTTGTGTTTAGTACTGCTCAGCCCCAGGGAAGCCAAGGAAGAGGGACAGAGAGCCTACCTTGTAGCAGAAGGCCTGTAAGAAAGCTGCACGTACAAGTCTTGGAAATGGGAACGTGGCCAGTACACGAGGCTTCCCTTTTCTGTGTTTGCAGAACATGCAGTGGGCTGGGATCTCATTGCTTCTGCAGCAGCCAGGGCCTTGGTTTTCTGTGCCATCCAAATAGCAGCCAGTCTGTGGCCTCCAAACGATACTGGGACACACGCGTCCCTGGAAAAGCGTAAGGCATTTCCATACCGAGTTTATAACAATACTGCTGGCACTTACAAGGCGGCAGACTAAGTGGAAATGGCACAAGTTAAGATAACCAGCCTGGGGAAGATTGCACACAAATATGGTTGCCCCACTGACCCACAACTCTTTAAAACAGAATAACACACCAACCGAACTGGCCGCCACTACATTTTAACATTTATTCAGGAATAAGCAGAGAACTTGGGATATGCTATTCCCAGCACCATGTGCAGGCTTTAGAGAGAATATGGTGAGGGGGAAGGGCCTGGATTGCCACTGGTGATGCAGCACCAGTATGTCCTCCTCGGTTGTGTCCATATGGAGTACCATCTGGTGGCAGGATGCAGGCTGCGTGTTCGCGCTTCCCTGGAACACGCAGCTGCTAGGACGCACATTGCCATTCGAGGCACAAAAATTAGAAATTATATCAGATACTGTAAAGTTGTCATGAGCGATATGAACTGATAGGAACCGATGTTCTTTAGCATACTACTTGCTGTCACAAATAGCAAATGAGAATGGATTGAGCTACATTAGGACTGTGAGAGTAAATCATCCATACTTCCTGGAATATTTAGAAATATGAGGATACCATGAAGATATCCCCTGCTGATGGGAAGACTGGAGTGAAAAAGGTGTTTAGTAGTGGATGGACAGGGAAGATATGATCACTATGATTATTTATATAGTCCTCAGAACAGCAGTTGAAGTAAATGTTCACAAGCACCTCTGACAACAGGACTTAAGTTCTTTAAACCCAAACAGCACTTTTGTACATATTGCTTATAGGTTTTCTGACCTTCGGTATCAAGGCTGGAGCACGACGGATGCAGGCAAGACAGCAAGACTAAAATCATTCTATGCTCACCATCAGGTATGATAGATGTAGATCAGACAGGTTTATTTTCGTGGTCAATGAAACATGAATGGGGATTACAGTGCAGATGTATCAATGAGGACCTGACTCTTTGCTTCGTAGTTGTTGCGTGGGCTTAGTAGGAGCCAGGATGTAATGTAAAAGCAAAAATGATTGAATGATAGTTTGATGCTTCTCTTGTCTATTATTCAGTATGTTTTAAAGAATGTTTCCAGTCACATCACTAGATGAAAAAAAATCCCTTTTCCAACTTCATCCTCCTTCACTCCCTGCTGTTAACCTCGCCTTTTAGGGGCTCTGCTCTCCAACCTTTCCTCATGTTGAAGAGCAGGCCCAGGCAGGCAACCAGAGCGCTTCCTCTCAGGTCCTTCGGATGTTGGCAGGACTCGGCACATGGTCACAAATGTCTTAGCAGTGATGGCTGGAGGGTCGAAACCCCAGTGTGGGGCAGCAGAATCAGACCTCTCGGTGCTGGACCCAGAGCTCACTAACAGCAGCAGATGTGCTTGCATGGATGGTGCTTTGACACAGCCTCAGCAGAGGTAACGTGGGAGTCGAGGGCAAACGTTGCAAATGCCCGTGTGGAATAGCATTGGTCTCACTCTGTATTTATGTCACAGGCTTGGTATTCAAACTGCTTCCTAGAGTAATGGACTCTGCTGAAATAATTTATTCTTAATGCCAGTAGTGTGCGTGTGTCTTTCTGCCTTTTATTCACAAATAAAAGCTTTATGGAATGCTTTCTTACAAGGACAGATAAGTATTTAGTGATTCAGGCAATGTTATAAACCATGAAAATGAAGCTCACGTTGTCAGTCAGTGGTATGCTGAGACATATTCATACCTTTGGTCATGATTTCCTTACTTTAAAATACCTGGTTCTGGGTTTGAAGTTGCACAGGAAAGAAATAGCACTTAAAGAAGAAATGTAACACAGATGTTTTAAAAAACTGTGTGTGTGTATATGCATATATGTGCATGTGTATAACCCATACTTTATAATAATCTCCTTATCTATCTATAATAGATTTTAAACCAAATATACTGTCAGTGTAAGATAGTGCCTAGCAGTTTGCTGAATCTGTTAGGAATTTTCAAAGTCTGAGCATGTCATGCAAGTCTTGTGTTAACAGCACTTACTAATACTGAGGTTTTTATTATAAAGACATCTAGATGTTCTGTTGTAGTGGGCAATATACCGACATTTTAGAAAGGCTGTCCCTGCCTCCAGCAGCTCACAGTGCTGCTGCAAGTTAATAGAAATAGGTTCCCATTTTGGAAATGGGAATAAATGACATGTTCACGACCAACTAGGGAACTTGTAAAAGAATAAAAAATTAACCCCTGTCACTGAGTCCCTTCCAAATACCGTAGATATAAACCCATCCCACCTCTTGTCTGTATCAAAGGTTTCCAAATGTTTTTAAATCCTGGGCGCACAGTTTTATTGTACTTTTATGCCAATCTTGAAGGCAGCAATTATATCACTGCTCACAACATCAGAAACATCAAAATACCATTCAGTCACTTTGCTTGCGCACTACACCCCCTCTTACCCAAGTCAGGGCTCGCTGTCTGCCTGCGCAAGCCAGAGCTAGCAGGTGGCTAACCCCACTGGTCCTTTTCCCTGGGAGGAGCAAAACACATCCCTGCTTTCTCAGCAAAGCAAAAACCTGGGTCTTTGCTGCAAGACCTGTGGTCCAGCCCAGGTGAGGTACCCTGGCTGCTGACTAGTAATAAATCCTCATTAGGACTCGTGTCGCCAGGATTATGCGTGGCTGAGGGTCGGAGTGGAAGGTGAAAGATGAATCAGCTTCTGACTACTTGGTCATATTCACTCTTGAACTAATTTCTGGTTACAGCGGCGACTGCTCAGTGGCACATATAGAGCACAGTACTTGGGGAATTAATTAGCTGTGTACTTCTCAGAGGGAGTTATTCTGCTAATGCCCTGGGCACTGCGGTGATAATGTGCCTTCTCGTAACGTCGGGGTCAGCCCTGACTTTCTGCTGCCGTAGCAGCTCTAGCTCTGCTGGGGTGGAGGTTCGCCTCCGCTTCTGCGTTTCCCTGGGCTAAGACAGAGGGACCTCCTGGACCGTCCCTCCCGAGGCCGGCGTGTGCCTGGGCCCCGCGGCAGCTCCCAGCTCCCACGAGCCTGCTGCGCTCGCTGCTGCGCATGCGAGGAGGCCGCGGCTCAGCCCGCCTGAGGAAGGTTTTATGCATGTGAATCGAGACTTTTTTTTTTCCTTTTCCTCACTTGATCTTGTATTTTCACCTTGGGCTGCCTTGCAAATAAGCTGGAACCTGGGCTATGTGGTGCAGTTAGATCAGGAGCTGGCCAGAGGCCCTTTGCATATGCAGCTGTTTGATGTCTGCTCTGCCATCCTGATCTATATATAGCTGAGAACTTTCTGCAAATTTGAAATTTGTTTTATTAAAACTTATTAAAACTTTCTTTGAATGTTTTCTCCTCCCTCCAGTTCCTGTGGGAAGGTCAAGCTGTTCTCATCAATGTATTGATTACGCATTTCTCCTTCTATTGAGCCTGTTTAAACCCCGCTGTGATAGGTACTGTGGATACTAATCCCTAGGTGCAGGTTTTGAGGTTGCAGGAAAAGAGGAAGCATCTCCTAAAAAGGGCTTGAGATTTGCTGGCTTTCTTCACTTCAACCAGCAATTTACCCCTGTACAATAGCCCAGAAAGCTTGGGGAAATGATAATGCCTCTGACTTCAAAGTTTTTGATGTTAGGTATTTAAGGGAACAGCAAAGCTTTAGTGACTGTGTGCAGCTTGAAAGCTTCATATTCCAGCTTTGTAAAAGAGTATCTCTTTTGTCCCAAGACATAGAAGCAAAAATATAATCCCAGTTGAGACTTTAGACCTGTCCACATGTAATTTCACAAAAGCCTTTATGGTCCAGGCTCAATGGCTCCTTACAGCCAGGAGGAGCTGTATTTCTTGCTATCAGTGTGAGGCTATGGTGTATCGCTGGATCTTCATTTCTTTTACTGTGGGGCAAAGGACCACTGTGGCAGATACATCTGGCTGAATTATGTCCTGTGGTGCCTTCATAGCTTGGCTGAGAGTCAAATTTCACTTTCCTATGCGATGTTTAGTCCTGTTCTCTGAGCTTCATTGTGAATTCCTCTCAAGCTGCAGGATGTAACAGAGTAATTAGCATAGTTCCCTGCACAAGCATTGGAAAAGAGGCGCCAGGGGACTGAGCTGTTATACCTTCTGTAGGGCTTTCTGCAAAGCAGTGGGCAGGAGCAGAGGAGAAGCAGCAGGCCTGAACCAAAGTTCGGCAATGCTCTAAAGCTTGGTAGGGCAGAGGCGAGGAGAACAGAAACCCCTGGGCTGTGAAGATGGGCCTAGAGGAGTAATCATTTCTGGAAGGTTGATGGAAAAGTTAATCTTTACTGTAAGAAGTGGATAATTTAGCAAGAGCCCGTAGCTGATGATGTTTGAGTGCAGCAGGATAGTTCCCAGTGGCTCACCTGGCAGCTCTCTGCTTGCCCTGTAGAGAAGGGGCCGGTCCCTTGGGGCACTGTGAGAATGTCTTGCCAGCTCTGCATATAAAAGCTCCTGGGGACAAGAGGGAGGAATGGGGCGGACACAGCCAGGCCGGGCTGCAACGCAAAGCAGTTCAAACGATGGGGAGAGCAAGCATGGTTACTGAGCAGCTGATCTTAGCTCATTTTGGTGAAAAAGAGGTGGGTGCCAAACACCTGTAGACCCAAGCGAGCATGCATTACAGGCATTATGTACGAATGTTTGGCTGTAGTTAATAAGTTCCCAAGAAGAACATAATTGGAGTAGTCTTTGCTTTTGCTAGTAGAAGAATGTAATGTACAAAGGCTTTGTGCCGTCAAAGACGTCTGAGACAGTAAAGGTTGCAAGCAGAATTAACAAAACAAGCTTTAAGAGGAAGCTGTCAATAACTGGTTAAATCAAAAAAGTTCCAATCCCAGTGTCAGTCTGGCAGAGCTCCTCGCTGCCAGTGCATGGTGTTTGCTCAGCCATGTTTCAAAACAGCAGTTTTGCAAAGACAACATTGATCTGAAATTTTAATCGGATGTAATAACTTAAGCATTTTGAAATGCCTCTGAATCAATGAAAATGATTGAAGGCAAAATCCAGATGGCCACATAGCTATATCGTATAATACCAGCCAAAGGCCGTCTCTTTCTGAGCAGGAGTATCTTTTAACATGGACTTAGTCTTCAAAGAATTTTAGATGCTGCAAAATACTCATCCTAGGCAAAATGTTTAAAATTAACCTTTCTCCTCCCCTCCCCTCTCCTTAGTAATCATCAGTCTTGTCACTAGGATTGAGATTTGATCTTTTATGGATATTTTTCTGCTTCATGCTTCCCAATGTTCTGGAAATGAGTCATGTGCATTGGTGACCTGAGACACTAAAAGCAAATCTGATTGAAAAATGTGCAGAGATTGGCTGAGAATACGCTTATGGTCTCCCAGTATCGTCTTATCAGAAGACCAATATAGCAACTCTGCTTGGATCAGAGGGAAGATATTGAAGGTATTGGATATTTAGGATTTGTTTTCAGAGCATAATCTTACTGATACTTTGCACTCCCGTTTGTGGATGTCATGGTGTGGTGCAAACATTACCAGGGCAGGCTGACCAAAGCCTTTTGGATGATCTGATGGAATTCATTGCCTCTAATCACAGACAGGGACTTTGAGAGACAAGGACAATCATTTCCTGATGACTCCTTTTTCTTGTATTGTGGGAAACAATAAGTAATTGTTCCATTTATGTTTCCTATATGACATTCATGATTTTATAGCCTTGAGATACCTCCTTCCCAGGGCTAAGGAATCCCAGCCCAGGTAATGGCTCCTTGGATGGGAGCCTTTTCATGGCTTTGGTCACGCTTATCCTTTTTCCAGTTCTGGCATATCCTTTTAGAAGCATGTAAGTCAAAATAGTACACGGTTTCCAAATGTGGGTGTTCTAGGGGTTTCTGG